CGGGGGGTGGACGTACATTTCAATCCCACATCCCCGTTCCGCTAGAGCGGGCATTGAATAAATCAAAAACAATGCGAAAATTGCGTACCCCCGCTGAATCCGTAACTATTCCCGCCTTTTCATTCCGGATTCAAATATTAATCACGCTGAACTTGTTCGCCCGCTTTTTTCAAACACTTTTCCCCCGTTTAAGGTGATCTTGTTACGTATTCCGCCGACGTAACCCCCTCCCCGCCCGCTCCTCGCCCGGCGTAAGTGTTTTTCTTCCCTCACGACCGCCCCCGACCCCTTGTTCCGGGCGTTTCCTTAAACATTCAATTAAATTCCGGAATCACTCCAAAGCCCTGCTCCTGGCTGTTTTGCATTGCGAGTCCGCGCGTCCCGGGGTGATTAATATAATTTTTTCGCGACCCGCTTCCTCCTCGAGAAGGGGCGGTTTTCCCGCCATCCTCCCTCTCGGAGGATTAAGGAGGCTCGATTGATTCCGGGGTCGCCACCCTTTTTGATTTTTTCTATGCCTGGCTAAATCACGTATAATATCAGCTTCTTTTCTCGACGAAATCTTCGCCTTGACTTAAGACCTGTGACGGAAGATTCGAGGCGATTTTGGATATTGTAGATCCTTGTGTGAGCAATACACGAAACTAACATTTTTCAGGATACAGCATTTTACGATGAACTGATAGGGTAATCCAAATGTTTGCCACAGCGCCAGATAACTACTCGTTTCGGACAACTGCACTATATTTTGCAATAGGCCTGTTGCGAGCTTCAGCCACAGAAAAAAGATGAGTCGTTTCAAATAGAATTCTTCAGTACGAATGATTCTTTCGTCTCAGTAAGAAAAAATAAGTCTCAAGCGTTCGGTGTGCCTTTCCGCAGTTCGGGGAAGAATATGATACGTACGGGACCAGTTAAATCGCTTTCAATATTGACTATATGCAATGTTAACGACACCGAAGTACGAATAGTTAGCTCGTGCGCCTTGCCGCAACACACGGAATTCAGACAGATGCGACGCGATTGTATGATGTTATGGGCTCTGCTCGTATCTGTTTTAGTGCAAGATATACTTATCTAACATAAAAAAAAATAAATGAATGCAGAATTTTGACGTTCAATGCGGTAATTAAATCACGTAAGAGAGGAAACTTAAAAAAAAATCAAGCATTGTTTTACCTTTATAAAGTTATTTTAAATTCATATTTTGTGCGTATTTAGATGTCAACATGCGCGTTAATCGTCGAAGTATTTTTGAAAAACTGTTTAAATTTTTCATCATATTATTTGAACCTTTTCAAAATCTGTCCTAAATTTCTTTCTTTTTTAAGAAAGAATTTTGCTATTTTTAGATACAGCTTATACAGCAACAATGGCGTGATATTTTCAAAAAAGGTTTTTGGGGTATGTCAACATTTTGTGACACCTTAAAAAGGTATGGAAATTTTTGTACTGGGATCGCAAATCAATTTAACGGTGTCCGAAATTTTCTCATCGCCGAAGGCCACTTTTTGAAACCTCGGGATGATAAAAACCCACCGATATCAACGACGCTGAACGTGAGTGAGGGCTGAACGCGATTCGGTGCACAGTGGATTGTGCCAATTACAGAAGTCGGACATGAAATTTTTGACTAAATCTGCGAATTTCGATGTTTATTTCATCGCATTTTAAATTTTAATGGGTGCTTTTGGAAGAAAATTTCACGAGAAAACCAACAGAACCACTTTTAGAACCTCAATTTTTTTTATAAACGGAGTTATAAGCGTTTAAAATTTCCAAATTTTGTCCGACCTCTCCTGTTGACTCAATCCACAGTGCGGCGCTCGAAGAGGGATTCAAGATGTTCCTGAAAGATTTCCCACCCCATCTGCGGGATCCCCATTCAGCCTCTTGGACACGGGTTCCGAACAGTGGCGTGGCGTGAATGATCGATTATCGATATCTCTCCATTTGAAGCTACGGTAAAGAATCGATTATTAAGTTGTTCGTTACAAACACCCTGTTTATCGATCCTCTTCCATAGGTTTAAACGGCATATCAATCGATGAATCGCACTTCACGCCACGCCACTGGTTCCGAAGTGGGCATCCTCCCTCACTCCAACACTGTCTTAGGCGTCTCCTTTCAGAGCACCCCCTCCCTCTGCCGAACTCCCTGCCCCTCTCCGAAACGAAATACGGAGCCTTCCCGTCTAATCAACTCCAAGTCGTCGCCGAAAAGCTTCCGGGATGAAGAGTCAATCCGGATCGATAAATCGACACAGAGGGGTAGCCCCGATGCCCTGTAACGAGCCTATCGGGTTGCCTGCCTTCAAGGCGTAATTACACCGTCTTGGTCATTTCTCCGTTGAGTAAAATTCAACGGCGAAGAAAGGAAATAATAGGGCGCTCGGCGTGGGGTTGCCAGACGGAGCTGAAAAAGGACGTTTTTTTAGTGAGTGCGGTGGAGGGTCGGAGGTGAACTGGCAACGCCGCGGTGCCTGGAACAGAAGTCGTCTAATTGGCGGCTGAGCGGAAATGATGTAGAATCGAGAGACCAATGGAGGCCCATTTGCACTAGCATGGCGATGTTGCCGAATTGTTTGATAATCATATGAAAAATGGCATCCAATTTTAAACGAGGTTTTCGCACCGAAGCCTTGGTCAAAGTAACTCAAAGCTTCGGTCAATGTAACCGAATGGAAAACTAACCAGAAAGTATATACAGCACCCTTAGATTACTTAGTGTTCTACACACACACATAACAAAAAATTATAACACATAATTATTGGGCACGGGCCGTCATTTGTGGCGAGTTGAATTTTTTCGAAGGTGAGATATCGATGGCTTTAATGCAAAACCGTCGTATCTGTTTTTGTGACTTAACAGACTTGCTAGCATACTACATGATTACCCTAAAAAACTTTTCAACGTATATCATCGAAAACCTCCTTGATTTTTCTTCTTCATCAGCAGAATAGTGTGTAAAAATTTCAAGCTATAAAATTGACTTGTTTCTTTTTAGAAAATTCTAAGAATCTTTCTTCTTCTTCTTTCTAAATTAGACGCGGAGAATGCGGCACACCACAATACTGTCGTACCAAGGAAAAACGTCGTGTGAACCATCAAGCGTTGCCAAATTTACTTTGAAAAAACACGAATTTCCTGGAAAACTTCTGAAAATTTTCGTTCCGATTTTTCAAATAATTGTATGCGCAATTTATCCGGAAGTTCCTGAAAATTTCATGGAAAAATATTCTTAACTTCCCTCAATAATAAACGTTTTATTGAAGGAAATTAGCCAACTCTCGAATGTTCATACGGCGTTCTTCCTTAGCACGGCAGAATAAAGATAAGTGGTTTTGCATTTTGGTCTTAGATGCGCTATCGTGAAGACTCTGTGGTGGCTGCCTGATAGCGAAAATTCCAAAAACATTCATCTTTGGTTAATGGTGACTGCGTGAGTATACATAAATTAGGATTTCAAAAAATTTAGTATGTAAACAAAGGCCTTCGGCCACAATTCTGTTCAATTGTGGTTCCACCCTGTAAACAAACTAATACAAATATTTCGTTATTTAAAAAAAAAAAAAAAAAAAAAAAAAAAAACTGCGTGATCGGTTGTGTGTAAAGCAATCTACTTCTAATTTGAAGGGCTCTCGTCCACGATGAAAAAGGGAAGCTTCAAAGGTGCTTTTTGAGAACCAAAGCTTGCAGCGCTGGCCAATGGGAGGGCTGAAAAAGGTATTGATGAGCTTCCTCTCAGCTCCCGTTTGATCATGGACAAGTGGTTTAAGACGGTAAATGAATGAAATTCACTTTGAGATGCATGAGGATCGATATTTTTAATGGATGTAAATTAAGAGAAAACAGTGTTGCCGCCTCAGCAGAACCGCCATATCGAACTACACTGGTTCGCCTTCAATTGACTATGTATGCAATATGCGCTCCTTGGTGTTAAAATAGTCGTATCAAACATTCACGACTCCTCTGAGGACGACCACTGCACTGGTTCGCCTTCAATTGACTATGTATGCAATATGCACTCCTAAGTGTTAGAATAGTCGTATCAAAAATTCATGATTTAATAATACGCGGATTGACACTTGTTCTGCACGAACTTTCGATGAAGTAAGATTATTTATGACTATTAAACTTTTCCTGTGCCTGTAAACTCCATTGTTTTATTTTTCTGACTCTATTTAAGTTCCGTACGCATTATGCAGATTCTAGAGGGTGAGAAAGCAACATGAATTTTTATTATGTGTTTCCTACGAGTTTAATCAACGATAAATTGTGGTGAAACCTAAAAGCACCGTCACACATGAACACTGGAAAAAAATATGGTAAAATCTATA